GGTTGTGCCCTCGATTATCAGTAGAAACCAATCGACATTCATACAAGGGATATGTATCCTTCAAAATATTCTCATGGCCCAAGAAATTATTCTAATTATAATCGAAAGATGATTCCATCTAGAAGTGCAGTGAAAGTGGACTTAAAAAAGGAATTTGATTATGTGCACTGAGAGTATTTGAGTTGTGTGATGAAGAAGATTGGATTTCCTAAGCTTTTTCTTGCTTGGATATTCCCTTGTTTGGATTTTGCATACTTGAGCATTTTAGTAAATAATAGTTTGTTTGGTTTTTTTGGAGCTACCAAGGGTGTTTGGTAGGGGATCCTGTATCCCCTCCTGTATATTTACAATTGCCATGGAGCCATTCATAGGGTTGCTGAACGAAACTGCTATCTATAATCAGCCGAGACTTACTAATTTAAACTTTGCTGATGATCTCCTGATCTTCACAGAAGGTTCAACATTTGCTTTAAATGGGGTAAGGAGAGTTATGAATGAATTTTACAAGCTTTCCGATTTGCAATGCAATCCTGGTAAATGAGAGGTCTTTTTTGGTGGAATGCCTCAACAATTTAAGTATAATGCTTTGCAAGTTTCTGTTTTCAAGAACACACCTTCTTGTTCATTATTTTTGACTTCCTCTGGTCTATATAAGTTGTCTAGTAATGAACTTGTAGTCTTGGTTGATAAACTTACTAGTCGAGTAAGATGCTAGAGAGCACATAAACTATCATATACTAGAAAGCTTCAACTGGTGGAATAAATTCTTTACTCATATTCAATACTAGATGAGTATATTTATCATTCATAAGAAGGTTATCAAGTCTAATCAAAAGATTTTTCTCAGATTTTTTTTCCTGGTTTGGGGATGGTTCCGGAAAAGCAAAGGTATAACTGGAGACCCTTGCCTTAGCAAAAGGAAAGTAGGCCAGGGATTAAAAGACTTGCTGTCGTGGAATGCTATGTGTGTTGCAAGGATCATCTAGTTGTTGCTCATACGAGGGGAGTAGCTTCTTGGTGGCTGGATATACCGCTACAGACTTAAAGCTGCCTCAATTTGGGAAGTCAAAATCACCTCCTCGGGGTCATAGATATGGAAATAGCTACTAAAGATCATACCCTATTTGAGATACAGAATGGACATTGATAATGGAGGTTGCATCACTTAGCATTGCAAGAAGCTTATTAACTTTTTAATTTAAACTATTTGGGATGCTATTAGAATGAAGAAGCCATTGGTCATATGGTGGAAGATCCTCTGGGGAAAGTTTAATCAACCTAGGAACATATTTCTATCATGGTTGTTATCCTTGACAAAATAACCACTAGGGACAAACTGAAAAACTAGGGAATGCTTACGGTAGATACATGTGTGTTATGTGACCGGGTAAGTGAAACTATGCAATATTTTTTTTGTGAACGAAGTTTAGCCAAGGATTTTGTTTCTGATGTTCTGAGAGCAGCAGTACTAATGCCCAATTCATGGGATGATATGATGGAGCTTATGTGCAACAAAGCTCTGAAGGGAGGCGACAACAGTGGATTGATTGAATGCTCTCTTTGGTGGTGGTGTGTTAGTTTCATCTGAGAGAGGTACAGACGTGTCTTTGATGAGAGTCTTCGTTCTTTGGATGCTCTAGCCATTATGCTGAGGGATGAGGTGCAATTATATAGCTGTCCAAAACCTGATTTTTACACGTAACCACTTAAGTTGTCTAGTTGTAGTAAGGTCCTTGACTTAGTTTAGAGTCCTTTGTTTTCCTTTTTCTTCGTAAGGAAATGATTGTTGGCAGTGCATTGTCTTGCATTTTTTCACTCTTGTGTTGCCTTGGCCAAGAAAGTGCTTAGTGGATAACCTGTAATTACCGAAAAAAAGTCCACCAAGGGACTGTATAATTTTGACATACTGGCAATTGAAGTTGCATAACCTTATTTGTTGAATAACAATAATACAGCTCTACAAACCCGACCAGGAGCGAGACACATAATCAATTAAAGCAAAAAGGCAAAGAAAAAGGATGTTGAACCAAGTAAAACAAAGGAGGCAAAGAATATGGGACTAATGTAATCACCTCAAAGTTAATTAGTTCAAACCCAAATTTCAAATAACCAAAAATTGAAGCATGACCAATAGAAAGCTAAGAGTTCTATCTATATACGATGAAAGAGATACAATAGGAATAGGGAAACATAACCAACCCAACAAAGAAATTATAAAAAAAAATTTTAATTACCAAGGAGCATAGAATTCGACGAGGGTATAGCGATCTTTGCCGACCTCTGTCTCAAAACTATCTTCACCAAGGTTAATGATGTTATCTTCTGCCTTGGTGGCGGCAGTGAGGAGAAGAAGGTTTTTCGAAGTCAGAAGTCGAAGACTTTGGGAGTCCATCATTAGTGTTGAAAATTTAGACCCACACTAATGGATTTTTCAAACCCTATCTTGCAATGGGGCAGGTTAAACTTGACCCGTTCTAGACCAGCCCCACGTGTAAAACGGGGCAGACATGAATATAATCAATGTCTTATCCCGATTTAAGCCCTTTCTTTCTCTAACGCCAAACTCTTTATTTCACTATTTTTTTTTGTTTTTACTCTTGTTAGTGAGCATTGCTACCTATCGTTGCTCATTGACGATTCATATGCACAGCCAAGCGACTGATATACCGACCTCTAAGATGCAATATTCTTTCGGTCATGCTATCTGTTTGACTATGTTTGTTCTTATTTTTCTTCTTCTTATTTATTTTCTTTTTTTCGTAAATACCATATAAAATCATACTAGTATGATAGATACTACTTTAAATGGAGGGGAAAAATAAAACTGAGTAACTAACATACAACTGCTACAATCACTGTGTTTTTCCAGAACTGTTACAATTACTACTTTTATTACTGCTTTTAACAAAAAAAAATTGAATTATTTTTCAAGCTGTAATATTCTTCTTGTCATGCTATCTGTTTGACTATGTTTGTTCTTATTTTTCTTCTTCTTATTTATTTTCTTTTCTTCGTAAATACCATATAAAATCATACTAGTATGATAGCTACTACTTTAAATGGAGGGAAAAAATAAAACTGAGTAACTAACACACAACTGCTACAATCATTGTTTTTTTTTTCGCAACTGTTACAATTACTGCTTTTAACAACAACAGAAAAAGACAATTGAATTATTTTTCAACACACCTGGTGGGACTCGAGCCCACAATCGTTTGATTAGAAGTCAAACGCCTTATCCATTAGGCCACAGGTGCTAATGTTCATAGTGCCATAAAGAAGATTATTTAATAATAGTAGTGAAAAGTTGCATGGGAATTAAATCAACCGCATAGTGCCCATACCCTTAAACTTAGTGTTCATTTTTTTTTTCTGAACGACTAAATATCACCCTAATTTTACTATTATTGTCAAAAATTAAACTATTGAACTAATCGCAAATAAAAAAAACAAGTGCCCCCCTTAAATCATTCATCTTCTTCCAACGAATCCCTATCACCTGCCCTCCAGATACCTTCGCCGCCGGGAATAGTTGTCCCTCCACCGCTAATCGAGATTGGTCCAAACAATTCTCCTCCGTCCCGCCGTAGTCGAACTCCTCCACCAGCCGCTCCATCTCTATCTTGTGGTGATCAATCAGTATGATCTACTGTTGAGAAAAGGAGTATCCAACCTCGAACCATGGATATAGATGCTGCTTGACCCTGTTGTCTAGTTCCCTTCATCCGTATTTACCGAGTTTGCATTTTCTCAATGAGAGAAACAACAACAATTGTTGTGCAAGCATGAGCTCTAGGGATCTTCGTGCCAACATTCATGTATTTTTGGGACCGGTTACTATAACAACACCCATTGTGTTGTTATTGTAACAACACTAGTCCCCAACCAATAGGAAGCTAGGATTGTGATGACTTTTTATTAGATGAGTTGACCTAGTGTAAAATCAAAGCAGGGGTATAATTGTCATTATGAAAAATCTATAAAATTAAAGAATTAAAATATTTTTTTATTTTCTGCCCAAAAATTTGGTTGCCGGAATTCTGCCACCGGTCGCCGGAAAATGGTCGCCGGTCACCGGAATATGCTTACCGGTGTCGGAATCTAGTCATCGGGGCCGGAATATGCCTATCGGCGTCGGAATCCGCTCACTGACGGTCACCGGAGTTCGGTCAACGGTCTTCGTTGACCGGTCAACGGTCAACGATCACCGGATGTTATGGTTAGCATTGTGAGATTTATGGTTATGTTTCACATATTTTTTTATGCCTTTTATGGTTTGCTTTATTGTGTTTGTGGTTTGCATTGAGAAGTTTCTGGTTTGCTTTCAAAAACTTTGTGGTTTGCATTATGAGGTTTCTGGTTTGTTTTAATATATTTGTGGTTTGCATTACGACGTTTATGGTTTGCTTTTTTGTGGTTTGATTTACTGTGTTTGTGGTTTTGCATTATGAGGTTTCTGGTGTGCTTTCGCAAATGTTGTGGTTTGCATTGTGGGGGTTCTGGTTTATTTTAGGGGATTTGTGGTCTGAATTAGAAGGTTTCTAGTTTGCATTAAGAAGTTTCTGGTGTGCTTTCGAAACTTTTGTGGTTTGCTTTGTGAGGTTTGTTGTTTGTTTTATGAGATTTGTGGTATGCATTGGGAGGTTTTTGGTTTGATTTTTGTGAGTTATTTTATCGTATTTATGGTATGTATACCACTAATAAACCTCCAAATACACCTCTAATAATGCAATTAACCCGAGTTTGAGCCCACAGAATGTTATGATTATGTTGCATTTTAGTTATCTTAAAGTGAAGTTTTGGTGCAGGCAGGCAATATAAAAAAGGAGCCGATCCAATTGCACTGAAAATGGGATCTGTTATTTTCTCCGATATGTCCTTAAAAAGGAACACTTTCGCATTTCGTTGCTCTTATTAAATCCCTAATCCACAAAGAACACACCACTCTTCCAATTTCCACCATCCTCCTTTCTGCATTTTCCCCCAAACCGAAGACCACGATGTGTACTCTAGAGAAGCGCGGCGATTTCTTCATCCTGACACTCACTGGTGAAAACGACGACCACCGTACCAACTCTCATCGCCGCCGTCCTATCTGCTCTCCGCGAAGCAAAATCGCAGGCCACCAGAGGCTCTGTCCTCATCACCACCTCCCAGGGCAAATTCTTCTCCAACGGATTCGATCTCGGTTGGGCGAGATCCGCCGCAGCCCCATCCGAGGCCTTCTTGCGGCTCCACCAAATGGTGGAATCGTTCCGACCGATTGTCGCCGAGCTGATCTCCCTTCCGATGCCCACCGTCGCCGCCGCCGGATTCACCCTGGCGCTGAGCCACGATTACGTGTTTGTGAGGGGCGACAGAGGGGTTTTGTACATGAGCGAGGTCGATTTGGGGCTTCCTTTCCCTGACTATTTCTCGGTGCTGTTCCGGGCGAAGCTCGGTTCCGTCGCCGCCCGTCGTTCGCCTCGAATTCAGCGACTACGATCGCGCAGGGATTTTATGTTTTAATTTTTTTTATTTTTCTTGTAATTTTACCCTTATACCCTTGTTGTTACAGTAACAACAAAAGGGGTGTTGTTATTCTATCCTGTCCCGTATTTTTGTTCCTGGTTCCCCTGTCAATGCCATGTCCAAAAGTGTTAATTTTACGATTAACGAGCAAGTTAGGAAATAAATGTTGATAGCTTAGAGGGTTGGGAGAGTTCTTGATTTGGATCAAGTTAGGAAAGAATTGTTGATAGTTTGTACCGTAAAAAGCTGATGATGTTACACTATTAGTTGTAAAAGAAATTTAGGACGTGTTTATTTGATGAAAAAGGTATGTGTTGTACAATGCTTATGATGGAGTATATACAATCTCTAAAGATCTTTCGGTGGTAGGAGTAAGATATGAAAATTTTATCTTCTTTATCTAGCTGTGAAGATAGTATGGGTTCTTAAGATAATTGATTATGGTGGTTTTAACACTACAACCAAATGCGCCTAGCCCAGGGGGTTTTTTTTTTTCCTGCGGTTCCCCTAACCACTTCCGGGCTTTTGCTATGGATACTTTTGCCAGCCAATCCATCAGCGGTATTGGCGGTTATTAGATCTGCTGAGAATTCCAACGAGCCATTTTAGTGTGCTTTATAGTATTGGTGCTATAAAACATTTACAGCCATTAGATTATGTTCAAACTATATCAACCATAGATTTTATTTAAATTATTAATTTGTTATTTTATTTGTGGGTGGAGAACCGGTACAACCGGTTGTCTGAAATTTTTTTACGAAATCAACCTTAAACGCAGCCTTCTTCTTACACGCAGCCTTCTTCTCACTTCTTCTCACCGCCGTTTACTCTTCCTTCGATCCTCTTCCTTCGATCCTCTCCACGCGAGCCAGATTCTGACGACGACAGTGAAGACGGCGAGCAGTGGGTGACGACGAGTAGAAGAAGCTTGTCGATTGCAGCATCTCTTTGACTGCGGCGAGCCGGATTCCGACGTCGACAGTGAAGGCGGCGAGCAGTGGGTGACGACGAGTAGAAGAAGCTTGTCGATTGCAGCATCTCTTTGACTGCGGCGAGCCGGATTCCGACGACGACAGTGAAGGCGGCGAGCAGGGGACGACGAGAGCGAGCATCTCTTCGTCGATTGCAAACGAAGACCCTCTTCCCATCGATAGCAAACGAAGACCCTGCACAGAACCCCCTCTTCCCATCGATAGCAAACGAAGACCTACCTCCTCCACTGCAACTTTTTCTGGTTAGTATGCCTACAGTTCTACAATTTTATTCAATTTTCGGGTTAGTATGGCTATCAGTTTAGGGATTATATTGGGATGTTCTAGATTTACAAATTTCGGTAGGGGGATTGAAATTCCATGCTCGTTTTACCAGATTGAACTATGGAAGTAGAAGAGAGAATTTCTCAATTCTGTGTAACCATTTGGGATTGAAATTGAAGCTTCTCCACTGCTTTCTTCATGTGCATTCTCAATTGGATATGGTGATATAAGATGCGATATTCCTTTCCCTCTCTCGGTTTTATCAGTTGTGTGAAGTGGGAATTCTGATGTGCTCCATCTTTTCCAGTGTCTTCTTCTATGATTTGGTTTGTCTCTCTCTTTAGCTTTAACGTCTTGTGCAATGAGTATTGAAGCTCTCTCAAGTGTAGTTCTTGGTTGTGCTGTATTTTGTCACGGCCGAGTTTGATTGAGATGGGGGCACCTTTAGTCATTCCGTGATTAATGAAGCTTCAGAAAGTCTGCACTTTTTTGTGCAAAATAGCTGTGGCCATCCACCATATAACTTCATTCCTCACACAGATCGTTGATGTGACCTAGGAGGTATTTGTGAATGGAGGATTCAGTGTCAACTAGGAAGATGTCTTGGTTTATATAATCCCATAAACTGTGCTGGGGTTGTTCATTTCGTTGTTGCCTTTGCTTTCAAACTGAAGAGAATAACTGTGCTGGGGTTGTTCTGCTTGCTTCTTTAGTTCTTTGGTCTTGATTGTGTTTTAGGGATGTAAGGAATGGGTTTTTGATTGGAGAGACTTGATTTGTGTTTTATGGAATCAAATCGAATAGGAAAGTTCATACTCAGTTTGATTCTTTTCAGTTTGTAGTGTCGTTACCGTTGCTTGTTGATTACATTTTGGACTGTTAATTGAAGGGTCTTGCTTGGCTGCATGAAAGGTGCAATTGAGTGTGTTAGTCAAGAACTATTTCATGAAATCAGGGTGACTTCAGTTTTAGCCAGTTTGGATGGAAATAGAGCGAGTGTTTATGGTGGTGTCATGGGTTATGGAAAGCTTAGTGGCTATGCTCGTGGTCATGTTATTTAGCTCTCAAAAGTTGTAAGTTGTGTGTGGTTTCTGGAAATATCACGGCTGTGAGAGAGACCGTGGATGTAATTCTGGAAATATCACGGCTGTGAGATAGGCCGTGAGAGAGACCGTGGATGTAAAAACGCACTTCTCAGTTTCCCAAAGGTTTTCACGGGTTGCCTTCGACAGTATCACGGCCGTGAGATGAGTCGTGTTTTTGGATATGGATGATGGGCATCTCACGGCCCCTTTGTAAATTCTCACGGGCCCCTTTGTAAATTCTCACGGCCCCTTTGTAAATTCTCACGGGCGTGAGAATAAGCCGTGTGATTGTCTGGAGATTGTCTGGAGATATGAAAACTACTCTTTGCATGTCACGGGTCATGTCACGGCCGTGAGAATTTGCATTTTGGGTGAAATGTAATGAAAGCGGGGTGTTTTGGGTGAAATTTATATATGCCAATGGCGGATTTCATGGTTAATTAGTGTACTCAGGTGTTGATGTAGGGGGTTTTCATTTCTTCTGGTAGTTAGAACTTGTATTTTGTTTGTACTCTTCGGCATGCTTATAATTCGTGTTTCAAGGCATGCTTATAATATTTCTGTTGTTTTAATTTTGCAGTTTGCTAAAATTGTTCTATAATGAAGACGAAGAGGCATCAAATTTTCAGCACGCGATGTTCTCCTAGGAAAGTATTCTCACTAGTCTAAAATTTAGAGGCTTGTCAATCAGAGGCCATTAAGAGATGTGGCTTTGGTCGTATTCTTGAAGTCAAAGCAAGAAAGCTACAACGTGAGTTGTTGGAGAAACTTGTGAAGAGCTTTAATCTGGAAGAAAGCACAATTAAGGCGTATGGGTTGGAAGTGCATATTTCGGCCAAAGATTTCGAGCGAATTATGGGCGTGCCTGAGGGAGGTACTGATATTATCTTGAATGGTGAAGAAGTGGAGGGAAGATCAGAGGAACTGGAACCATTTAGAGTGTTTTCGACACGTGATTGTGGCCGACAGGCGATTTCCACAAGTTTAATGCAGAAGGCGTTGTCGAAGATGAAAGATAGCGACGATCTATTTCTTCAAATGTTTATTTTGTACGTAATGGGGGTGCTATTAGTACCAACTAGAAGAGAGGACATTTCCTTGTCTTCGGTATACGCTGTCACCGATGTTGCAGACATTCCGAAGAAGAATTGGGCATCCTTTTGCTTCAATGAATTGGTCAAATGCATTTGCGACCATAATGCTTATAGGAGAGAGTATATACCGGGTTGCTTGCTGTTTTTGGAGGTAAATAATTGCTAATCCCGACTTTCTACATATTTGTAATGATTAATCATCATGTTGATTATAGTATTTTTTTTTTGTAGTTAATATTCTTGGAGCATGCAAATGGTATTTTTCAAACCATTGATGGGAGTTTGGATTTGATGAGTTGGGAGAGCGGAGACGTGGAGTTATTGTTAACAAAAGTGGTAAGATTGATAGTATATTTGATTCTTTTGACAAGTTGGAGCATGCTAATGGTACATTTGGTTCCCTTTTTAATTAATTTATAGGTTTCCAGCAGTTCGGGGAAAAGATCAGCTGAGGATGCCGGTTTGAAATCACCTCCAAGGAAACGGGGAAAAAGAGACGGGAAACGGCACAAACCCGACGGGGATGAGCTGCTTCTCTATGAGCGTATTGATGCTCGATTTAGTACCATGGAGGGTAGAATTGACAACTTTGGTCAAGAATTTAGAGTGGCAATGGGTGATGCTGCTTCTAGAGATAATGAGCTAATGAGCCGGGTTGTGAAAATGGAGAACGAATTTCGGGCTTTTAGAGACGAAATCGGTACTGCAGTGAAGTCCCTTATAGAGGCAGTGAAAGCAACTGTAGGTGATCCGTTGTCAAGGGAGCAGCCTAGGGAACCCATTTCTCCTACAGCTGAGTTGAAAAAGAACGATCAGAAGGGTGAGGTTGAAAAACCTAGGGAACCCATTTCTCCTACCTTGGAATGTGTCAAGACTGCCAAAGTTGAGAATTCGGGAGAAGCTGAGGGGGAAATTGGAGATGAGAGATGTTCTGAATCTCCTTCTGTGAAAGTTGTGAAAAAGTCTCCTTGCAAGCAGCCTAAAGTGTCGCAAGTTGAGAAATTCATATTGTTGAGTGATGAAAGTGTTGCTGCTAATGATGGTTGTTCCAAGGCTGTGAAGGTATTTCACTTGATTAATTTTTCTAATTATTGGTTCTTATGGTGTGGTTACTAATGAACTGGTTTTGTTTTTATGTTTTTGAACAAGAAAGGGGCGAAAGGGAGGTGCACTACGTAGTGTGTCTAAATTGAAGCCTAGTTTGTATGTGGTCTCTCCATTCGAACGGGCAAATCCCAGAGCTAAGAAAGCACAACCTTTGTACCGTGCTCCTCCCTTTGTTGTTCAGACACCATTGACTCTGGAGGCAGTAAAGATGATTCAATTTGCTTTTAGTAGTGAGCTTCCCGAAAGGTACCTCCCGAAATCATTACAAGTAAAATTGGATCATATTTGTAGGATGTTTTTGGTATTTGCCTTATTCTAATGTTGTGTTGTTTGAACTTGGTATTGTATAACAGTG